CCCCCCCCCCCCCCCCCCCCCCCCCCCCCCCCCCCCCCCTTGGCAGCACAACTGGCTATGTTGGCTCATCCCATGCCTGGCAAGGATGTGTAGAGAACAATGCACTACTCCGATGCCTCTCATATCTCCTACAGTCACAGCCACACACTCAGATGATCTCCTACCGGTACTGCAGCCGGGGTCTGCTAGATGCCGTGCCAACCAGGAAGTGGAGATGAAGCCCCGGCATAGCCAAAGATAAGTCTTCCCTTCAACCCACCTCCGTACCCTAGCTTGAGGTCATTCTGCCTCTAACCCTCAGCTCCACCTTCGTCCACCCAGTGCTCCACCTCACTCTCCCTCAGGGAGAGCACCAGCATGACTGCCAGGTGAATACTCGGACCACTAATTGCACCAAATGATATACTCTTGCCTCCTGCCTCTTGCATCCTCACTCAGCTTACTCCTGGACGTATTGGGTGTGCTACCCAGCACACCTATTCCGCGATTGCAGACTGTGATCCTACCTTCTAGACCCCGTACCTAGACCTGATCCTGACTACATACAAGCTGGTACCACCATGATTCTACCTGCTAGCCTAGATGACCTCAGGGCCTACCAGAGTTACTGGAATATCCGTACACGATCCGTATCAAATTCTACTTTTGCCATGTCTGTTCGAGAATTTTCTCGTAAATCACGAGTACATCCGGAAAAGCAGTTGAGCGTCTCCTGAAAAATAGGAGGCCATGAACCTCCGATTCATATTATCGAGGGTCCATGGCCTTCGAAATTTTACGAGGGGCTCAATCTACATTTTCAGATGTACTGGTCCAGCTATACCCCTCTAACTACACCTGTTCACTGTTCTACTCATCTTGGGATACAGAAACACAGCAGGAGAACAGAGTTTGCACACAAACACAGACTCAGACTCAGCAAGCATTGAATAGACTCTCCAACATGCAGACAACACAGCAAAAGAGATCCAGACGTGGAAATCTCAGCAAATTAGGCCAACAGAGCATTTTTTCAGGGAAGCGCAGATCTCTCGGCCTGCAACAGTGTGGGTCACTACCGAAGGCTGGACCTCCAGGTAATAACCACGGCAGTCATAAGAAGTAGGGGTGGTTCATGACTGGTATGAAAAACAGAGGTTGAACCGTTGAACACAACACTACCCATTTCAAAAAGATGCACAGCGAGACTTTTAACGGAGACCTGGATTTTAAGAACATTGTCATGCCCCTTATAAGCAAGTCTGAAAACCCAAAGGCCTCTTTAATCAAACTTGCCACCGATACATAGAGGTATTGAGGGTCCCCCCCTTGACGAATTGTGATGCATACAGGATAGGTGGCTGAATACCAAAAACACGAAACAATTTGTCAACAGATCAAGAGTTCAAATCTTCCAGGGTGTAATGATTTTTCTGCCTACTCCCCATTGGAGGAGGGGAGAGGAAAAAACAGAGAGATGTACAGTGCTAATGTAATAATAAGCTAACAGATGCTCCACTTCATTCACTTGCACTGTGGATCCTTGGGCACACCTGTAGGAGATAAACCAATCTATCGTGTCCATGACCCACCTCTTGAGTGACATTTTGCCTTCTTTGCTTCAACCAAATGTGTGTGAATCGATTGTGTTGCTTCCAGAGCTCACAAACTCCTACTTGTCCTACAGCCACACCCGACCCATATTGAACATCCATAATATTAGGGACATGGGCTAGCCAGACCTACCCGCAGCTGTCGGTCTAGACTTGGCACGGGTCACCCGTCGAAAAGATATGCATATCGAGGTCACACCTGCAGCAAACCAGTGGTCTGTTAAAAAAAAAAGAGCAATCATGAAAAATAGGGGCCGGTACCCCTATAGACATATATGCATTGGTGTAAGACCCCCACATGCATACATGCATATCTTTTCGGCGGGTGACGCGTGCCAAGTCTAGACCGGCCCACACCTGGCCATTTTCTTTTTTGTTTACAGAAGGCCACTCACAACTGGCCTGTTGTTTTTCACCACAATTGCCCCCAACCTGGCCCACGGCCATCCTTCCATCACCTGGCCACACCTGGCCAGGTGGGACATGGGCTACCGTCTTCCCCCGAACATAACGCACCCTGGAAATGAACGTATACAAGGTATGTTTTCGGCCCGATACAGGCAAAATAGGGGTGCGTTGTGTTCGGGGGAAGACGGTAGCCAGACCTACCCACAGCTGTCGGGTCTGGCCGGGGGCAGCTAGGGGCGGCTACAGCCAGCCATTTGCAGGCTCTGGTTGCTTCTCGTTCCTTCGTATCTTTTCTTCTTTTCTGTAAATAAAGGGGGGGGAAACAACTATGAAGCGACAAGGTGTTCTGCACTGACAAACGGTGCCAGGTTTGAAGGTACCGGACCAAAAGGCCTGGACAAGCGCCCCAAGGCGGGTGAAGAGGCACCAGGATTGTCACATCTGTCTCGTCTAGCCGAAGCCGGGTAATGGCCCGGGTACTCAGATCTGAGCATTGATGTACTGTTTCTGGAAGATCCATGGGACGCTGGATCCGGTTTCCAGCAGGTGCTACTCCCACCAATAGACAGGTGCAACCAGAGGGAGGCATGCTAGCGGGTGCTGCTCATATCACTCCCCCTCGCATACCGAAACTGGATTTCAAAAAACAAAAAACAATGCACTCACTCCCCACACAGTTGGTTGAATCGGACTCCAATTTTCATGCCCCTTGCGAGCTGGGCTATGTGCGCGCCATACAGGCCAGGGAGGAGTTCTACGACAATCGTCAGTACGGTGAGCTTTGTTGTATCATCACGCTCCAGTCACACCGTCCTGACTGAAGTCTTAGTCATGGAGGTTGCTGCATGAAATTCTGCCGAGTTTCTAAGCAATTAGACAGCGAGGCAGAAAGCAACCACGTATGGACTCCGTGGGAGGCAAACGGGAGTACACTTTGCATAGAGGCGCATGTAAGAACAATAGCGAGCAAGGAGCAACTACTCACATGAAGTAATCGGAAAACAGGGTTCTTCAGAGAATACAGTAGACAGCTTGATATTAAGCCAAGCACAAGGGAGCAACCGAGCGCTAGCCTGATGCGAGAGCCCACCAATCCCCAAGCCTTGGCCCCTGAACACTTGCTGACCTGCAATTCGACACACACCACCCCGTAAGGCAGAAAACCTTCCACTCACAAATTTGTGTTGGTTCCCAGTTAATACCTAGCCATGACAATGTACCTGCCTGAAGGGTGACAGACACCTATTGGTTGATAAGCAGATCAAGAGTTCAAACTTCAAACCCTGCCAAGTACCATACTGTTAGGGGCTGCCCCGCCTCAGTAAGTGAAAAAAAAAGACGTCAAAGAAACAGTTACCATGACCATGAAAGTCACCTTCATCGCTAAACAACAACCACAATGCAAGTCTACTCAAGTCCCCATCAAAAAACACGAACAACAAATGAAGTCTGAATGGCCAACCTGTTTGACAGGATGAATGACCTGATGGTCCTCTATTTCCCACAGGATGGGTGATCCTGGCCCATTTCGAAGTACACATTCATCAGAAAGTACAATGCCGTCCAATTGCAAAAAGAAATGATTGAGCTTGAGAGGAGAGAGACGGAAAGAAGTAGAAGAAGAAGAAGAAAGAAAGAAGAAGAGGATGATGCACACCAGCATAGACCAATGATAATGCTCTTCTTCTTCGCCAACCACTCTCCTCTTCCTTCTCTTCCTTCTCTCCTCCCCTCCTATTCAATCAAGAAATAATAATAACAATGTTGAACGGCTGAACCAGAATCAATGTCCGAATCCCTCTTCTACTGCAGGTATCACATGAGGTCCACCATAGCCATGGCACTCTCCTCCTTCCTCTTCTCGAAGGCCTAGGCTATGGCAGACTGCTAGGGCCTTGCCCTGATGTGCAGAAGACAACTCAAGCAGCTATGGCTGCTCTAGCTCAGGCCTCCATGCCTGACTCTGCCTTGAAGCTTCTTGGTGTAGCTCTAACCCAGCTGGGGCCTTCGTGCTCCAGCACCCATCAAGGTCATGAAGATGGCAACCACCATAGCCAGGTAAGTACCTCTGGTGCTCCCCCTTCCTAGTCCTGGTCTTCTTCCTCCTCCTGTCATTGCTCCTTCCCCAGCAGCGCTGCTCCAGCAGCAGCGCTCCAACCAGTGTGTAGCCAAACTTGCGCACCGACAACGAGGAGAAGCACCTTGCTCCTCCTGGAGATATAGCGGCCTGCTTGCCTCTTGGCGAGTGACTTCCTAGGCCGAGCGGCCTCCAACCAACCGGTACCTCCTCCCTTTCGGAGGGAAACATCATTGCAGACGCTGATATTACCCATACAGGCCGTAGACTCAGACTGGTTGCACTCGTACTCGCCTAGAGCTAGCCTACAACTACTGGGCCTCTAAAAATGCCAACTTTTGTCTTCTTCTGCTCGGCCTCGAGTACCCAGCACAACTACCTCTACTTGGTGTGGCACCGGCCTACCTGCTACTTGAGTGTTTTCCGCTGTTCTAAGTGCCGCAGGCCTCTTTCCCCGCCACTTGAGTGTTTTTCCCGCTGCAACCCTCAATGTCACGACCACAGGTAAGTACCAGCCCTTTGGGCCTTTCCGAACAACCAAGTGCTCTTGCGGGTCACATACACACACTCGAGCCGACAAGCACTCAGACAGGTATGCAGACCAGCAAGCATGCACCCACACAGACTTGAAACTCAGCAACAAGTGGGAAACTCAGTAAGGCATACATTCCATGCGCAAAACTCAGAAATCAGCTGTATGTTTGGCAGGTCATAACACTACCGCCCTCCCAAGAGCGAGGTCCCTTCGAGCGACTAACTCATTCTGAGTCCCCGACAAACGCATCGTAAGCGAACATAGTGAAGACATTTCGTGAGTAGCAGAGAGTTTCGCAGAGATTTTCGGTACAACATTAGAGGCTATCTGTCGCTCGTATGCTTTAACAATGCCAGGTGCGCTGTGCAGCAGTTCCTTCTTTGAGATCCAACAGAGATCGTCTAACGGGTGATACAAGAAGTGAATCCGATGTTGTCTGTTACATCACTTCCCTACGTGCTTTTTTATTCTATCGATCTCGTGACCGCTATCGAGGAATCATGTCTTCACGATAGTCGAAGGACTCAGCATCACAACATATATACAACTTTGATGCATGAAAGACTGGGTACGTGCGCAGATGAGGAGGCACAACAATTACATATGAAGGACCGAAATCATCATTGCCAATCACCTCTAGAACTTCCCACGAACCATAATAGAGATGGAG